CCAGCTTTATTGATCATAGTGGAAGACAGGAAACAATGACAAGACCTAACATGAGGGAGTGACCAAGAAAAGAGGCCGGAAGGTGGAGTGGTTGAGAGTGGGTACTCCTGAGCCTGAGCCTGGCTTTGAATCATGTTCTGCCACTTCCTAGTTGGAAGCTCTCAGTGTGATCGTTTTTCCATCTGTAAGATGAGGATTGTTGCAGTACTAAACTCATAGAATTGTAAGCATTAAAGGAGCTCATAATATAAAGTATTTAGAATAGTGCCTAGCACACAGTAAGCACTGAGAGATGTTAGCTGCTATTATTATTATAGCTATGAAAATGTGGTTTATAAGGTTTTTATCAAACATGAAAATAATCATAAAGTTAAATAAACAACATAATATCAATATGTTCTGAGTTATGTAAAACAATGCACATAAAAGGAAGGAAATACTTCAAAATGTTCCCAATTATCTCTGGGTGGGGGCCTGTGAGTAATTTTTATTCTTTCTTGTATGTTGTTTGCAAGTTTTCTATACAGAACTTGTATCACTTTCATAACTAGAGGAAAATATTTATATCTACCTGAAATAGATATTTGAATTTCTCAAGGGAAAATTTCCCTTGAAGACCTTTAGTGATAGAGGATTAGACTGTGAAGCTGGAACGATAGAATGCGCTAGAGTTCAGTTGAGTAAAAGTAGAAGTGAGTTCGAAGTTAGTTGTTCTATGTAGTGTTGAGTGTGTGTTGTCAGTCTCTGGAAGAGATGCTTTCTCTCATTTAATCCCTCAAAGGTGCCCTGAAGGAGGGACTGTGTTGGTGCCCCTTTTGCTGCTGACAACATCAAGGCTTAAAGGTGAAATCCTCTGCCCGGGGCCACACGGCCAGCGAGGGGCTGCTAACCACGGTTTGACTCCAGAGCCCTCTGCACCTGTGCCGCAGTGTCACTCCAGGCTTGGGACTTTCACCTAGTCAGACGTCTGCACATGACAAATTGTTTTCTTAAACACTATACACACAAATACAGGCTTCTGTAGGATTATCTTTATGGCGGTCTTTAATCATAGCTAGCTGCCAGGAACAGGAGTTCCTTATTTACTTTTTGCATACTGCTTGTGTTACCATTTTTACGCATCTGGATGATTCACTAGGACTTTTTGTTATCCTTCGGTCTACCTGGGTGTTGTTACTTGACCTAAATTATCTGAAATGAGAAGTTATTACTTTTAGGATGAGATGCGGTTGTTTTATGACTTCTTTCTATAACTTAGATTAAATATTACCTAATGTATGTGATTTTTTAAAAATATGTGATATTTTGACTGGGCATACAACTCACACCTGTAATCCCACCACTTTAGGAGGCTGAGGTAGGAAGACTGCTTGAGCCCAGGAGTTCAAGACCAGCCTGGGTGACATGGTGAAACCCCATCTCCACAAAAAATGCAAAAATTAGCCAGGTGTGGTGGCACGTGCCTGTAGTCCCAGCTACTTGGGAGGCTGAGGCAGGAGAATCAATTGAGTGCAGGAGGTTGAGGCAGCAGTGAGCTGTGATCACATCACTACACTGTAGCCTGGACAACAGAGTAAAACCCTGTCTCCAAAAAAAAAAAAGATATTTCTCACTGGAGAATTTGCTATTAAGAAAGCTTCAGACCAGGTGCAGTGGCCCATGCCTATAATCCCAGCACTTTCGGAGGCTGAGGCATGTGGATCACTTGAAGTCATGAGTTGAACCGGTCTTGAAGACCAGACTGGCCAACATGGAGAAAACCCATCTCTACTAAAAATACAAAAATTAGCTAGGCATGGTGGTGCACACCTGTAATCCCAGCTACTTGGGAGGCTGAGGCACAGGAATTACTTGAACCTGGGAGGCGGAGGTTGCAGTGAGCTGGGATTGTGGCACTGCACTCCAACCTGGGTAACA